TACACTCTTATTCATTGAATTTTTTGTTGAATACAGCCACTCATGTTTACCTTTATAAACTGGATTATTCCATCAGGGATGGTAGTTTTGCTGAGTCGTCTTAAATATTCAATGATATCACTTGTCTAAAAAAGAGAGAGATTAGTGTCAGTGTTTCTCCTGTCATTATGATAGAGAATTTTGAAGTGATGTCAATCACTGATTACAAAAAATATACTTTCAACTTTTATTTGTAACCTGTTAAATGTATTGTAACCTTTTTGAGCAAAGGGTAGGAACATTGTTTTTCATTTGAGATGACTACAAATTATAGGTCATGATACAAAAGACATCGCAAGAAAAAACAAACAAATGAGAAAAGGGAGGTGAGAAAAAAGATAGCAAATATGCTATACAAACAAATTTACAAACATTCCTTATTTAAGCACCAATTCATTAACTAGGGAATTTTACAAAGTTCAACAATTATACTGGTTCTTTTCTAATTTACCCACTAGGATAGAAAACAGGACATCTATACAAATGTGAGTCCCTCACCTGTACATGTTCAAAACAGTGTACATTTAAGTCTTAACTAAAGACAACAATCCTCACCTGAAGACCCACAGAGACAGCAGCGTAGAGAGAATACGCCGTCAACCTTTAAGAAAAACAGTGTAACAAAAATTGATTCATATTATCCTAAGTATCTTGAATGCACAATTAAAAAGACATCATATCAAAACACCTAAAACAAAGATGATCACAATTTTTCTTTCTTGAGAATAGTTTATTAATTTTATAACAAATCAAAACACAATGAAAAGAAAGGAATGCCAAAAAATACATAAACTGGGTTAAATCATTTTAAACTAAATGATACCATAAAGAGCAAATCACAATTTATGCAATAATTTGAATTAATAAATTAATATTAATTAAAATTAATTACAATAATAATGATAATTATAATAATTTAATTTAATGAATTTACCTGTATTCGTGAATGTGTTCTGGTCTGCAGACCGGCTGTTTATACAAACAGTTTTGAGAAAAAAAATTATTTTATCATTGAAAATCTCACGGACTAAATTACCATTATGATATTTATTTATTAAATGATGTCAAGTGGATAAAAAAAAATAATAATAATTGACCACTTTCATAAATGGCTGCCGGATTAATATTCTTTTGGTTAAATTTAAATTAGCCTTTCTGGCCTCACTTGAGACAATGTATTCTTTTGAATTTTGTACTGGAGAACGAGGCCAGAAAGGCTATTTTAAATTTAAACAAAAGAATATTAATCCAGCAGCCATTTATGAAAGTGGTCTATACACGATAAAATAAAAATCTAATCTTTCCACACTACCATCGTGGTATGGCAACAATATTTTCAAATAACTAGTGGGCACTTCAATCAAGCCTTTAAAGTTCATTGTATAATTATCACAACCTACCTCAGAAATGGCTATAAGGAAATCGTGGGCATGTTTCTACACAGGTGAGAAAGATTCCAGAAAAATATGGCCATCAGGAGCCTGATAGGAGAAAAAAGAAAATTTTCTTTTAGTTTTGTTGATTTGTTTGCTGTTTTTTTTTTTGTTGGCAAATTCAATGATCAAGTCACGAGTGAAAATGAAAAAAATAAGACTTTAAGGTGACCAGGAAGCGCATGAGAGACCAAATGGATTTTAAATGATGGGAGCAATGTTCCTCTACTAATATTGTTACTGACAGTGTTTGTTTAAATTGTTCAGTAGTAAAGAAATATATTTTCATTATTTCTAGATTGTCTAACGATAGTTACTTAAGACTGATAATTAAAAAAAACCTGTTATGCAAGAAATGACTTTCTACTCACCACCCATAGAGGTCTAGAGGAATGATCTGCTTTAAGTTCTATCAGTTTACGATAATCTTTGGCTCCAAACTCATCCTTGTAACAATCATAATTATAATGAATTCATTAAGGATTTTCATAAACAACCAAATTTACAACATCAATCAGCAGTCCTGTATTCAAATTCATGTCAGGATTATATATCAAATAACAACTACATTTCATTCCTAAACTCACTTCATTTGCCTGATCATTCACCGCCGCAGAGGACGACTTTGGTGCGACCTCACCTGAAATTCCATTCATTACACGTCACCATTGGGTATTCCATAAACTTGTTGATGCTTTTAATACCATAACATCAATATGCATTTTCTCCTTACTGTTCTTTATACATTTCCTTAAGTGCTGACAAGGAGAATTGGCTCAACAATTAAGAGCCTCAATCTTTACTCATTGATCAGGTCCTTTATTCTCATTACCTTAATGCAAGGGTGTAGCCAGGGGGGTCCTGGGGTTCCCGTGACCCCCCCTTGGTAGGTCTTCTCTAGAGCAAACAACCTACCATATTCAGGTGGCGAAAACACCATGACAATATCTCGGCCATAAAAGCCACTGATATGGGCCTTCATGCCCCGATAATACAACTGAGCCTGCTGATACACGTGGGAGAGAAGCAGTGTAAATGGTAAGTAGCCTCTGTGACCCCCCCCCCTTTGAAAAATCCTGGCTACGCCCCTGTAATGTTTAATTCAGGGTTGATATTGTAAGGAGAAATAAGATGCTGGTCACCCTTGCAGCTCACAGGTCAAAGAAAGTTATGAGTTAACCAAGATCAGGGATTTCAATTAGAGCCGGGTAGCAGGTGTATCTACCTGCTGGTAATTCACTTGCTACTTGTTTGCAGCCTGTATCCAAAACATCACAATAAATTCCTAACATCTGATTCTCTTCAAATTGGTTTTCACTAAGGAACAACTAAGCAACATAATATAGCATAGACCCTAAAATGAAAAATTAATCTTCTGGGGCCAGTTGTTTGGGGACTGATTAGTGCTAACCCAAGGTCAAACTTTTTAATCAGGGTTTAATTTCTTTGTTCCTTTGTCCAAGTAGCCTTTTGGGGATAATTTACTCTATTCTTTTTATTTAAAGCATCTAATCTCCAAATTGTAGACGAAAATAACTGCACTGAATTTTCCTTTAAAGCTTTCAGATTTGAGATCAGATTTCACACTAACCATTGGTTATCTTAACCCAGCTTTGAACAAACTAACCCAGTGGACTAAAGCTTCTAAATTTCCAAAGAGACTTGTTTAACTGGACTGTTGTGAAACTCAGATGGTTATTTTAGGCATGTACAATTTCACTGTAAAAGGAAATTTACATACCGTCATCGAGAGACTCATCATCTACATACTCTTCCTCTTCATCAACCTAATTATTAGTAATATAATAAGTGTTCATTAATTACATTGGGGCTCCATTTTTTCCACAGTACATTTATTGTAAATTATTAAAAACTGGATCATTGGATAATACAGTTCAAGACTTTTTATTGGCTTAGCCTTTATGGTATAGGAGCCAATATACCATAATCTGCAGATATGGTAAGCGTGTGCATCAGCTTAAAATTAAAAGGGAGCCATAAAACAACAAACTAATTGCATAATCGCGAGAAGCAAACACCAAAATGACCTGCTATTCGAAGCAGGGCTGTAAGCACATGGAGTCCCTGCCCCTAACCCTGGGCCACCCCAAACATCAACTCCTTGAGAAAACCGCTGGCCAGTATTGTTTCAAGTTTAACTTAGCCTATATTACATTTAGCCACATCTAAGAAATTTAATAATCTTTAATAACTTAATTTAACGCTTTTAATAAAATAATTATTCCTCTCATGCTTGTTGGATATGAGATGATTATAGCCAACCTGGCACTATGCACCATGTTGGCTATCTATCATCTCATATCCAAAGTGCGCTCATGGAATAATTGTCAATTATACTTATGCGAGGTTCCAGAATTTTGCAATCTCCCTGACCCTTTGATGCCAGTACATGGCAGCAGGAATAAATTAAGGAGAATTTAAAATCCTTTGATTCCTAAGATGGGACTGTTAATTCTCCCCTATGGCTGTTACAAATTTCCTTGCTAATTAGTTATGAGAATTTAGTGTTAGATCAAGGTAACAACCTTTAGCTCTTGTACCAAAATTGTGTAATTACAAGTTGTCTGAAATGAGACATTCCCATGTCAAATCTTAAAACCCTTAGGCTTGTCTGCATCTTAAGAATGGATTTTGCCAATACTTTCTGATAATTTGAAATATGAAAAGTAAGTTTATGGTATTCTTTAACATGATACCTTGTTTCTCTTTGCCTTTCTTGATGTTTTTGAAGCTGTAACGTCAGACAGACAAGATAATGACATGAGTGATAATCACAACAGTAAATGCTCCCTGTCACTCTAAATAATATTTCTAATAATTACGGACAGAACTGATTAAAAATATCTAACTGGGTCATTCTTGTTTGAAAATTTTCCTGAAGCGCTTTTATTTAAGCCTTGAAATTGACGAGAGCATATTTAGTGAAGAAAACACTAACCCAACCATGACACTCATCTACATTTGACTGTTGCACTGCAGGGCACACTACTTACAGTCCGTAGTTTTTCGTTTTTGGCTCTTCATTTCGATCCTTAAACCATCTATTTCGCCCTAAATAGTATATCACGCCATAGAATTACTCAATCGCTGTCGTCCTGGGTCTTCAATGTACGGGTTTAGGACAGAACAATTTATAGCCAGAACTCTATCACCTATCGACTTTCTAACCTTGCGGAATTCAACCAGGCAACTCTTTCAGAACCAAAAGGACTGGACACAAAATCCCGGGCTCCTAAACAAATTTCCCAGCCTATAGCTACCCCTGGGGCAGTGGGATATTATTTTTATTATTCTATTTTTATCTATTTATCTATCTATCTATTTTTAAATGATAAAGAAACCTGTACAAACCTATATAAAAAAAAACTATAGAATAACGACACCAATTTGAATCGCTTTGCTTTTTTTCTCTGTTTACTTCTCTTTTATTAATCAAGATTTACAATATTTTTATTTCTTGTCTACTCATGCCCCTCGAGGGAGGGGTAGGGAAACGATGTTTGCCTCCAAATGATTACCAGAGTTCATTCCACGTGAGACCTGTCAGTGCAAATCCTCGTGCTCGCACTGAACGAAAAGAAGGCACTCGTGATGGCGAAGTTTATCTGGTCCGTTTTCCTCGTAATAGTCCTTCAAATCATTTATGTAGACGTGGTTTACACACAAGACCAGTGCATAGAAGGAGACTGGCACAAAAAGTCGCCCTCGCCTGAAACAGCTGAGTTCAAGACTTGTCATGCTTTCAAAAGCAGTAGTTGTTGCAACGCAAAGTTCACGGCGGAATTGATGGCCAACGAAACCCGTAATTTGTATAACCATTCCTGGCATCGCTGTGGTACTCTCTCCGCAAAATGTCAATCCTTTTGGGTCAAACAGGTAAACTTGCGGATCAGATAAATAGGTTCGCCTCCTAAATAATTTTACAGGGTGGGGTTGTAAAATACATCTGTCGCTTTGGTTTCGCAGTTTTTTTTTGAAAACAGAAGCAATTAGTAGAAAATCTTGGGAAGCCGGCCGGTTTCCGATATTTACTCCGAGTACTGGGCAGCGATACAGCAAGCCCGGCCTATAATTTGCCAGGGGGCCTCAATACGAATGATCCGTGTACGTACTTCAACGATTCAAAGTGAGTGCACGCGCACCCCAATTCAAACTTAGTATCAGAACTCACTCGAAATTAGACTACAATGCGCCTTTTTTCGAAAATCCTGGGATTTATCAATTCTTATTTCTTTATCCGATTTTATAATTACATAAATGTGTAAAAGATTCACCGTAGTTCACGACAGTGGTGATCGCATTACGTCACGAAGGTTCGAATTCCGGCGCGCCAAGTCTCGACACATACGAGTACAACCTTGGCCAAACTTCTCTTACATGTGGTATTTATCAGGGTGATCGTTGATCGGAATCTCACAATGCCGTTTTATGGGGAGAGTTTTCCGTATAACCCTATGCTTTAGTAGGCAAGATTTCTGTATAACCCCATACTTCATTATGTATGCAATTCTTGGAGAAAAGAAAGCAGAGGCAAGACAACAGATTACCTTTGGGATTGCGGCTTTGTTTTTTGTTGGTATGGGGTTATAGGGAAATCTTTCCCTTTATTATGCAATCAATCCTTGGATAAAAGAAATCAAAGGTAAAATCAAGGGGTAAATTTCCAAAGAAACTGTGGTGCTGTGTTGGAAGGGGGTAACAAGGTAATTTGATTATATCAACTAAGTTGAAACTTTGAATTAACCATGCAAGTTAAAACGGTTATACAGAGAACTTGCCCTACACAATGGCATTGTGAGATTCCGATCAACGATCACTTGGATAAATACCACGGTGGCCAATTTACCGTTTCAACTTAGTTGATATAACCAAACTACAAAAGTAAAATAGATTTAATTTGTTCTATTGTGACTTTGTTTTGTCATATAGTTGTGTTACATTATATGAAGTTATGTCATAGTTGTGTTAGGTGTTCATGGATATGCCTGCGCAAGAGTAAGAAGAGGAATAAAGGAAACCTAGAATGTTAATGTTCATTGCTTGTTTTGTTTTATAATTTCGTCATTGAATTTCTAAGATACAAAAAGATTGTTTTAGAGACTACGGCTATGTATATAAGAATAGTATTCGGTTTACAGAAATCTTTCCTTCTGATATGTTTTGATGCCTTTGAATTTGTCCTTGTAGGAATGTTTTTATCAGTGTTCTCCCAAAGTTTACCAGTGGAAAAATCCAAAAATAAAAGGGGCTCTGAAAGGTAAATACTGATTTACTACATGTGACATTGTTTCTAGTAACATCTGAGCAGACATCTTGCCAAGGAGATGAAGATAGTGTTCTCTGCATTGATTGAATGTTTCAGACATATCTGCAGGACTAGCACTGTTAGTGGTTGTCATTCTGCCAATGAAGTAGTCTTCTCATTTTCACATTATGCTGTGTTTAAGTCTCATCTTTTCTCTGGTAAATCTTTGTAACGCTCTATTTGTCCTGAAATATTTTGCTTATGTAGCTGTCAGTCTCCTTCCTCCATACCAGGGTCTAAATACACTACTTTCAGTGGACAGGCTTGTAATCAATGATGGCATATGGATACATGTTGCAACCTGTAGAGTTGCAATGCACTGTGATGAAGTTCACATCCATTGAATTACATGGGTTTGGTGAATAGCCCAAACTTCTTTTAATCTTATGACTCCTGATAGTTATAAACATCTTTTTTCTCCTTACAGTATCACCCCTTGAATCACACATTAAAGTTGCAAGATTAGAGGAATTGATCACCAACTAAACAAGCTCTTGATTGTTAAAAAAAAATTGTAGTATGTCCCTAGGAATTCCTATTGTGTTAGTTGACACTAATTGCAATATCTTGGGAATTGTACAACTTTTGAAAATTTTGTCTTTTAGGTGTACCAGTTTGTTCTGGCTTTTGTGATGCATGGTTTGAGGCCTGCAAGGATGATCAGATTTGTGTTGAAAATGTTCTTGACGACTATAACTTCACCATACATCGAGAGAACTACTGTCCCGGGGACAGGGAGTGTGAATCATACCAGGCCATGTATGGAAATGGCAAGAACCTTTGTGAGAAGATGTGGGGAGAGTCGTACAACTACACCCAGCCGAATGATAATTACTCCAACTGTTTGATGATGGACCCATCCATGACATATACGCAAGCCACACCCAAACCAACTGTGAAAGGTAAAGGCATTACCAGTGTCCCCGACATTTCTCTGTTGGCTGTCATCCTCTTTGCTAGGGCTTTTATACAGTAGTTTGTGTATTATTTTTTTACACTCAAATTTTTCTTTAAGATAGTCTTTCAGTAAATTTTCAAATATGGTGAATTTAAAGCTGGTCCATTAATTTGAGTGAGCCATTTAATGTCATACCCTTGATAAATAGATTTCATGTTGGCACTGGCCTCTGCAGTAATAAATCACAGGTTACTTCAAAAATGTGGCAGACAAGGTACAGCCAAGTATGTCACTGATGTGTACAGACCCACGAGAACATAGAACTTATTTGTCTCATAGGATAAAAAAGTAAAACGTTGTTGATAGTTATGTCATCTGTTTCTGTCTGGACAATACTGCTCCACTGACTGTGAGGCACTGTTTTGTACACCATTTTCTTGAGCTGATTGTATTCATTACTGGACTTAAACTGCACACTCTGTAGGTACCTCCTGTTGTCCCTCATTGTGACATTGGGAAGGGGCTTACAATGAACACTGTTTCAGTACTGTGTGAAGATGTTTAGTAGTTGGTCATGACTTCATGCCACTGATTGGTTTTTTTATTAGTTGTTTTTTGGAATTCCTCAATCAGCAGGAAGTAAACTCATTTTGAAATACAAATCAAGATCTTAGATAATTGGGAGTCATTTCATGTAAATTATTACAGGACTCGGGCAGTCAGAGGACCAATAACTAAAATCAACTGATCAAAATGCTTTATTGTCAGTCAATATTCTCTCATTATTGGACCGGGCACAGTCCCGAATGATACCGC